CCGAAGACGGACCAAGAGGCCCTCAAGACGCTCCAAGAGAGCCCCAAGAGCACACCCAAGAGGGCCCCAGGCGCCAAAATCGTCAATTTTACATAGGTTTTTGAATGATTTTGGCCTTCTCGCCTTTTCGGCTTTCCGACACTCCAAGACGGCCCAAGAGGCCCCCAAGAGGCCCCCAAGAGCGCCCCAAGAGGCCTACAATAGGGCCCCAAGACGGCCCAAGAAGGCCCCAGGACAGCCTAAGAGGCGCCCAAGACGGCCCAATAGGGCCCCAAGACGGGCCCAAGAAACGGCCAAGAGGGGGACGAGGAACCGAGAATTCGAGACTTCCGCCCTAAGAGGCCCCCGGGAAGCCCCAAGAGGCCCCCAAAGGCCCCAAGAGGCCCCCGAGCGGCGCCAAGACGCCCCCAAGATGCGCCGAAGACGGCCTCCGGAAGCCCCAAGAGGCCCAAAAGAGGCCCGAAGAGGCCCCACAACGGCCCCCAAGAGGCTTCAAGTTGCCTTCCAGACGCCCCCGAGAGGTCAACCACGAGATCCCAACCAACATCCATAAGGCCTCCTCCTCCTCCCCCTTCACCCTTCCTCCTCCTACTCCCTTCCGCCTCCTCCTCCTCCTCCTCCTCCTCCTCGTGCCCCCCCCCCTCGTGTTGTCTTTCGTCATATTCAGGGTCGGCGGCAACGGCCGTAAGGCCTTCGCAATCTTCGAAACAGTGCATTACCCCTGAGACATTCTCATCAACTTATAAGAAGGATGACTCGTGGCCCGACGCATAAAAGGAAGGTCAGAGACACGATAGGAACTTTGGAATGGACAATACACTGCGGCCTGCCCGCCTACTGCGGCAATTGAACCGCGTGCAGCCCCATGGAGAAAGAGATACAAAGGTTAAGGGGGGATGCGTTTTTCCTGTATGCCGGGGGTTGCGGTTACGATTGCGAATGGAATGCGACGGTGTTGGCTCCCCGGGGCTCTCTTGGAGATCCTCTTGGAGCGCTCCGGGGGCATCTTGGAATCCTCTTCGACCGTTTGAACCGCCTCGTGAGCTGTCTGAGAGCATTCGAGAACGTGTTGGGAGCGATTCGGAGGCTGTCTTCAGTTGCCGAAGGCCTCCTGGAGGAGCCCAAAGACTTAGAATGTGGCGTTGTGGTATACCAAGAAAAAACGTTCGACACGGGCCCAAGGATTCGAGGTTTCCAGAAGAAACCGCACACCGTAGGAGAGGCACTCCTGAAGGAGCCCGAGGACAGAGGATAGGGCTTTTGGCAGGAGCCCAAGGACTTAGGATGAGGTTTTCGGCAAGGACAAGTGCCCTCAGGATGAGGTTTCCCACAAGGGCCGCAGGACGTACGACAGGGCCTCCCGGAGACGCCGAAGGAATTAAGACAAGGTGCGTGAGAGGAGCCCGCAGAACTAAGATAAGGTGTTCGACAGGGGCGCGAGGACTTGGGAAATGAAGCCCAAGGACTCCTGGGAAGGCTGCGACTGGGGCCAATGGGCTCAGGATCAGGTGTTCGACAGGAGGAGCCCAAGGACAATGACAAGATGTTCGACAAGGCCCACGGACTTGGGATAATAAAGTTCCCACTAGGGGCTGCAGGACCTAAAAGAGGAGCCCAAGGACTTATGCCAAGGTGTTCGACGGAGGCCACAGAGACTTCGGGGAAGGCTTGCGACAGGGGCCGCGGGGAGCGTCGGAGAGAGGACTTCGGGACATATGTTTAAGCGAAACCCCATGACGCAGGATGTGTTCGACAGCGGCACGAGGCCTTAGGGTCAGGTGTCCGACACGGGCTGCAGAACGAAGGAGCGGGCTTCCTGGAGAGGTGCATTGACTTAGCATGAAGGATTATTTGAGAGGAGCCCTCGGACAATAATAGGAACAAGCAAACTGACAGTGGGCCAAGATCGTAGGATAAGGTGTTCGAGAGGGGCCTAAGGACATAAACAAAACTCAAAGAGAAGCTCAAGGACTTATGACGCGGTTCCAAGTGAGCGCAAATACTTAGGATGAAAAGCTTGAGAGGAGCTCCCCCGGAATTGGGATGAGGTGTAAGCCGGGGACAACGACGCGCAGAAGAGAACCTCCCTGAGAAGCCCCAGGATTGAGGATACAACGTTTGAGAAAAGGCCACCCGTGTCTCCTGGGGCTTCTTGGCGGGCTGTTCGGGAGCACGGTCTGGAATCGTAGGTACCTTTTTTTTTTCGTGCGTCTTCCAGCAAAAGGCAAAAGCAGTCACCGCTCCTGAGACGTCCAGACGAACACGTTGGACCAGGGCACGCTGGCAGGCAAGGGGCAACCAGTAGACTGAACGAGCTCAGTTCCCTCCTCCTATCCTCCGTCCTCTGTAAGACCGTTCGGCCCCCACACTCAACAATCGTGGAACGAGCCCATGCATCTGGGTAATGAGCGCCTGCGCAGCTTGGCGCGTCTCACGCTTACGGTGGACTTAAAGCCTAGGATCCATGAGCCCAGCTCCAAGTCCTAGAGTCTGGCTGCATCCTCTTTCGCAGGCGCAATTGCCATTCAGCGGCTGCGCAAGCACTGCCCACTCAACGACTGAATTCAAGAAGGGACACGCTGTGACGCTGAACACATGCACGGGAAGCCATTGTCGCCTGCGTATGATCATCTTCACCCAATAAACCCCCTACCGCAAACCCAGCACGGTCGAGATGCTTGATGTAAACATTCAGGTACTGGATCCCCTCCCTCGTGCGCCCATGAGCCACCTTTACATCTACCTTCCCAACATGTTTCCACTTCGATGTTCCGTAGCTCACATCCAGGGCGTGAAAGTGAAGACCGCCAGACCACGTAGCCTCTACCCACACCCCTGTCATGTTCAATTCTCGGAAGTACAAGTCTGCGCACTGCATACCCATTTGCACCGCTTCAGCCTCTACATGAAGCAGGGCTCTCTCAGCGCGCTCCCCCTTTGGAATGTTGACCAGTGTGTGCTTGCCAGGCCTCCTCAGGTCGAAACGCTCGCCGTAGATGTTTCGTAGGTGTGGGTCCCCTGTGGCAGTCATGGCGCCGCTGGAGACAGCCAACGGTGGAACGGGCCCCGGGGAAGCCGTGGGGCCCGGCGTCGAGAGAGGCGTCGGACGCGGCGTCGGTGGCTGCGTTGAGATGACGGCTAGGGCCGCCGGGCCTCCGATGGCTTGCAGGGGAGCGTTGCCGGACGCGCCGGGCGCAGTGGCGGAGAGCGCGCTGCTGATAAGGGCAGCAAGCCTGGCCAGGTCTTGACCAGAAGCCTGGGAGCTCAACAGCTCTGTCGCGCTGTCCTGAACCGAATGGGCCGTCTCTTCCAGCACGACAATGCGGTAGTCGATGGTGACGTTGCCGGCCAGCGAGCGGCGCGTGGCCTCGTACTCGACGGTGGCGTCAAGACGGCTACCACTGTCAATGCTGCAGAACACCGCGACGTCTTCAGGGGCTACGGTACCGTTCATGTAACTCGCGATCGATGATTGAAGAGCCTCCCGCATGTCTGCGCTGCTGGAACAATCTGACGCAAACTTCTCGGGGTCGGGCACCGTCACAGCGAACTCGCCCTGGACCATCGGGGGGGCCGTCGGGGCGGGGGTCGGCGTGGGCGTCGGGCTGGCCGTCGGACTGGCCGTGGGGCCAGCCGCGGGGCTCGCTGCAGGGCTTGATGTGCAATTTCCGGCGTGATCGACCGCAATCTCTTCCGAGCCTCCGAACGCCTCCGTGGGGGCATTGCTGGCCGCGGCAGGCGCAGTGCTGGACAGCTCGTCGCTGATGATGGTGACGAGTCTGGCCAAGCCCTGACTGGAAGCCTGGGGGCCCAAAAGCACTTCTGCGCTGTCCCGAATCGAGTCGACGAGTCCGACAGGCGCGGCGATGTCGTACTGAATGGTGACGTTGCTGGTACGGTGCTCGTCGACACGCTGCCCGAAGACGCAAAACACCGAGACGTCCTCAGGGGTGACGGTGCCATTGAAAATTGTCGCGATTGACGTTTCTAGAGCAACTCGCACGTCTGTACCGTTGGAACAATTCTCTGCAAATTCTTCGGGGTCGGGGACGGTGAGGGCAAAACCACCTTGAACCGTTGTGCAGACCGTCGGGCTTGGCGTCGGGCCAGCAGTTGGGCTGGCTGTCGGGCTGGCCGTCGGGCTGGCCGTCGGACTGGCCGACGGGCTGGCCGTCGGGCTGGCCGTAGGGCTGGCCGTAGGGCTGGCCGTGGGGCTGGCCGTCGGGCTGGCTGTCGGGCTGGCAGTTGGGCCGGCCGTGGGGCTAGCAGTCGGGCTGGCCGTCGGGCTGGCCGTAGGGCTGGCCGTCGGACTGGCTGTCGGGTAGCGCGTCGGGTTGGGCGTCGGGTAGGGCGTCGGGTAGGGCGTCGGGTAGCGCGTCGGGTAGGGCGTCGGGTAGGGCGTCGGGTAGCGCGTCGGGTAGGGCGTCGGGTAGGGCGTCGGGTAGCGCGTCGGGTTGGGCGTCGAGGGCGTCGGGTAGCGCGTCGGGAAGCGCGTCGGGTGGGGCGTGGGGCTGCGCGTCGGGAAGCGCGTCGGGTGGGGCGTGGGTCTGGGCGTCGGACTGGCTGTCGGGCTAGCAGTTGGGCTGGCCGTCGGGCTGGCCGTCGGGCTGGCAGTTGGGCTTGCCGTTGGGCTGGCTGTCGGGCTGGCAGTTGGGCTGGCCGTAGGGCTGGCCGTAGGGCTGGCCGTGGGGCTGGCCGTCGGGCTGGCTGTCGGGCTGGCAGTTGGGCCGGCCGTGGGGCTAGCAGTCGGGCTGGCCGTCGGGCTGGCCGTCGGGCTAGCCGTCGGACTGCGCGTTGGGTTGCGCGTCGGACTGGCAGTTGGGCTGGCCGTGGGGCTCGGCGTCGAACGTCTCCGTCTCGGCGTCGAACGTCTCCGTCGCGGCGCATAAGAGGGGGGGCTTGGAGCAGGAGGACTATTCCCCTGAAAGAATTGGCCAAACAGGCTTCCAAGTCCCCCAAGCGCAGGTGCTGCACCTGCAAACATCGCACCGCTAAGCGACAACAGCGCAGCCCCAACACCCCCCGCTACAATGCCTGCTAGAGCTGCTCCTATATCTTGAAGAGTATCGTCAAACGAGCTGGCTTCGACCTCGTACCCAAGGGTGACGTTGCCATCAACCAATTTGCAGAACACATTGATGGCCTGAGGGTCGACGGTGCTACCAAGTTCACCATCGAGGTAGGTCGCAATCGATGCTTGAATATCCGGGTTATTTGTACAATTTGCCACAAACTCTTCTGGGTCGAGCACCGTTGCAGAGAGCTCACCGTACACCGCTGGGGGGGCCGTCGGGGCGGGGGTCGGGCTGGCCGTCGGAATGGCCGTCGGGCTGGCCGTCGGGCTGGCAGTTGGGCTTGCCGTTGGGCTGGCTGTCGGGCTGGCAGTTGGTTTGGGCGTCGGGTAGGGCGTCGGGTAGCGCGTCGGGTTGGGCGTCGGGTAGGGCGTCGGGTAGGGCGTCGGGTAGCGCGTCGGGTAGGGCGTCGGGTAGGGCGTCGGGTAGCGCGTCGGGTTGGGCGTCGGGTAGGGCGTCGGGTAGGGCGTCGGGTAGCGCGTCGGGTTGGGCGTCGGGTAGGGCGTCGGGTAGCGCGTCGGGTTGGGCGTGGGGCTGGGCGTCGGAGTGGGCGTGGGGCTGGGCGTCGGGTTGGGCGTGGGGCTTGGCGTTGGGTTGGCCGTGGGGCTGGCCGTCGGGCTGGCCGTAGGGCTGGCCGTGGGGCTGGCCGTCGGGCTGGCCGTCGGACTGGCCGACGGGCTGGCCGTCGGGCTGGCCGTAGGGCTGGCCGTGGGGCTGGGCGTCGTGGAGATCGATGATGTCAGCAATGCAGCGACAATGTCTCCATCCCTTTCTGTGGATACCGCTAGTCGAACTTGACTTGGAAGTGATTGGAACGGTGGGCAATTTACACCGTTGACGGCAACGGTCATTGTTGCGAGGGACATGTCGATCTGCACACGGATCACATCACCAACTTGAATACCGTGATTTGAACAACCCTGCCAACTACTTTGACCCCACTTGTTGCCTAGAAGTTGGAGACCTCGACCAGATTGGCAATTGTACCCATCAACGCTGCTGTGGTAGCATCCGCTCTGTCCAAGATCGTACCCTTCGAATACGACACCGAATGCTACACTGCAGCCTGGCGATTGAGTACAGCCATGGGACGACGCGACATATGCAAACGATGCCGTGTAAGTCCCTGACTCTATCCATGGGCCAAACGCTATGGTCCTCCAGAGCCATGATGAAGCCGCACTCCTTGTCACCGTTGAGCCGTCGACGACGTACCACGTGTTGTCTGGCTGCCAAAGGGACACCGGCGAAGTAAACACCTGCAATGACGCGCCGTACTCGTAGAAATACAACAGCACACCCCTTGGGGGGCTTGCCACCGACCAAGAATGGAGCCTCACACCGTTTTTGTACACGACAATCATGTTCGCCTCCCACTGAAACCTGAACACATCATGCGTCGTGTATGTGCTGTCGGCTCTACCAGGTATGTAGACTCGCCCTGCTGGGAAAAGGCCTATATATGCTCCATTCGGGTATTTCGAATTGTCTGTCAGATCAGCGGTGAGACCAACCCGTTTGTGTGCCCATGTCTCTTCAGCCTGGATGCTTACGCTTACAATGCCGTGCGCACTCGCCGAGGCATCGTACGCCGACCCACTGGATATTTTTCGGATCGTGTTGCCCACTCGCACGGCTTGCGTGAGCGTCCATGCTGCCGACGGGTCAATGTGCACGTAGTGGAGGCAGTATCCTTCTCCACATGAATATGCCATTGTAGTACCACTGTCCCAGAGACTGCTGATTGATGCACGCGTCAGGCTGTGATACCCTGACACATATCGGGCAGATCGCGAACCTGTTTCAACTCCGTTCACTATGGTTACACCAACCATCTTGGTGTAGCCCCCATGGTAGACAGCGAAAATCCACAAAGTGAAATCGCTTCGGTGCAGGACTGCACGGACATTATTGTACTGGGACAACATAGCGCTGCTTGGACCGACTTGCCCAGTCACGGTAAGCACTCTCGTCTCAGCACCCTGATGCGGGCATTGGCTCCCTCTCGCCCACCCATAGTCGTTTCCCGTGTAGATGCTGCTCGACCCTGCGAGCGCGCAGTCGAACCTTGAGCAGCTGCCTCCACATCCACAATTTCCAACCCACCTGCAATAGTCGTTGCAGATGCCCTGCCCCTGGACGTCGTACCACCCGCGCTCACAGCTTCCTCCGTAGCCCAGGTCTACGATGTTCTGCTGGGCTGGTAGTATGTAGCGATCTTCGAGATTATTCGGATCGAAGGGGTAGATCACTGGGGAGATTAATGGAAAAGTAGAGGCGTTGGTCCGCTCGGCCCCCTTGCCGTCGGCATCGCCGCTCTTGTCGTCAGCGTTCAGCTGCAGCGAGCCCGCGTGACTGAATATGGAAAGCATGATTGCGATGTGTTTGGCCCAACGCATCCTGGAACGAGCGGCGGCTCGCCTCAGAGCAAGAGGTCTGGCGATGTGTACGTGCGATGCCGGAGTGCACCGAGATCCGCTTGTATGCTTCAGCTCAAACGGCTTGAGCTTGAGCCAAAATGGAGGGCCCGAAAGCCTTCTCGGAGGCGTCTTGGAGGCAGGGTTGGCTCTCTTGTGCGCCTCCTAGTGGCATCTCCGCGCATATTGGAGACGTCCTGGAAGCCTTTTGGGTGCCTGTTGGCTGTTGCCGTGCTGACCTACGCTACGCGACAATATGCAATGATAAGAGACGCTGTGATACACGATGCTAGTATGCTATGCTGTGCGAAGCAATGGAATGCCTAGCTATGCGACCCCTCCCTCCCAATTACGACAGCATGGCAGCCTTGGCATAACCGCCACCCCCACCCCCGAATAAAACCAGCACGACGTCCTTATGAAACCAATCCCCTCACCATCGAAGGTAAACCCGAATCAGAACCAGGACAACGTCATTGAACCACGCCCTCCAATTGCTGTTGGTGCTCCCCTCCTCGTCCTCCTCCTGGTCGTCCTCCTCCTCCTCCTCCTCCTGCTCCTCCTCCTCCTCCTCCTCCTCCTCCCCCTTTTCCCTCTTTACCCAGTAACATGTCGCGAACGCTTCCTGCGGCACAATGCACGAACAAGATGAGGTACCCTCCTCCTCGCGTCTCTGCCTCACCCCCCCTTCTCCTCCTCCGTCGGCGTCTGTGTAATGATGTGCCGTGCGCTGCTCTGCCTCGCTATGATTGCTACGATATGCCATCCTATGCCATGCTATGCTATGCCGTGCTACGCGATGCTACACTACGCTATGCTATGCCGTGCCGTGCTGACCTACGCTACGCTACAATATGCAATGATAAGAGACGCTGTGATACACGATGCTACTATGCTATGCTGTGCGAAGCAATGGAATGCCAAGCTATGCGACCCCCCCCCTCCCAATTACGACAGCATGGCACCCTTGGCATAACCGCCACCCCACCCCCGAATAAAACCAGCACGACGTCCTTATGAAAACCAATCCCCTCACCATCGAAGGTAAACCCGAATCAGAACCAGGAAAACGTCATTGAACCACGCCCTCCAATTGCTGTTGGTGCTCCCCTCCTCGTCCTCCTCCTGGTCGTCCTCCTCCTCCTCCTCCTCCTGCTGCTCCTCCTCCTCCTCCTCCTCCCCCTTTTCCCTCTTCACCCAGTAACAAGTCGCGAACGCTTCCTGCGGCACAATGCACGAGCAAGATGAGGTACCCTCCTCCTCCCGTCTCTGCCTCACCCTCCTTCTCCTCCTCCGTCGGCGTCGCCCAGGGTGCCAGAAAACGACCCCAAATAAAACCAGCACGACGTCATTGTGAAAACCAAATCCCCCTGACATCCAGGTGCATCCCTTTACGCCAGCATACGTGTTTAGGAGTGGCCACCCCGAATAAAACCAACACGACGCCTTTATGAAAACCAATTCTCCCGACACCAAAAAAAAAACAAGAATACAACAAGAACGATCTCCTCAAGCAACCACGGGCCTATGGCTATGTGTCTCTCCTCGTTCCTTCGACCCTCCTCCCATCGTACCCGCCCGACTCCTGTACCATCACCACCCTCCTCGTCGCGCTTCGCTCCTCCTTGTCCTCCTCCTCCTCCTCCCCCTTCGCGTCCCCCCGAAATGACACAGAAGTAGACCCCCTAATTCCCCTCTACGTCTGCAAAGCTGCCCGAGAAACACCACCCACGAATAAAACCAGCACGACGTCATTAAGAAAACCAAGTCAGCTGACACGGAAATGAAACCTGAATTAAACCAGAACTGCGTCCTTCACTCCCCCCGTGTACTCCTGACCCTCCTCCTCTTCCCTCACCTTCGCCCGGGGTGCCAGAACACGACCCTGAGTAAAACCATCACAACGTCCTTAGGAAAACCAGGCCCGTCCGACATCCAAGTAAACTCCTCTACGGCAGCATAGGTGCATAGGGGCAACCAACCCGGATGAAACCAGCACGACGCCTTTATGCAAACCAATTCCCCCGACATCAAAGTGAACACCGAACACAACCAGAACGCCCTCCCTATGACCCCCACCATGGTTATTTGTCTTTTCCCGTTCCTCCGACCCTCCTCCCATCATACCCCCCGCTCTCCCGTACCATCACCACCCTCCTCATCGCGCCTCGATCCTCCTCCTCCTCCTCCACCTCCTCCTCCTCCTTCCCCTCCCACCTCGCCTCCACCCGTAA